TTCTAGCAGACATTTAAAGACAATCTACATCCAATACTACTTAATTTATTCAAAAAGATAGAAATGGAGGGAGAACTTCCAAATTCCTTCTCTGAAGCCAGCATCACTCTAATACCAAAGCCAGGTAAAGATACATCCAAAAAAAGAAAACTATAGACCCATATCCTTAATGAACATAGGTGTAAAAATTCTCAACAGGATACTTGCAAACCACATACAGACTCACATCAAAAAGATCATCCACTATGATCAAGTTGGCTTTATCCCAGAGATGCAGGGATGGTTCGATATACGTAAGTCAATAAACATCATAAATCATATAAATGGGCTTAAAGACAAGAACCATGTGGTCATCTCAATAGATGCAGCAAAGGCCTTTGACAAAATTCAACTTGCATTTATGTTCAAAGTCCTAGAGATAATTGGACTGGAGGGAGCATACCTCAACATTATTAAAGCCATATATAACAAACCCACAGCCAACATCATTGTAAATGGAGGAAAACTGGAAGCATTCCCATTGTAATCAGGAACCAGGCAAGGCTTTCCACTATCTCCACTTCTCTTTAACATAGTGCTTGAAACTCTTGCAAGAGCAATAAGACAAGAGCAGGAAATTAAAGGAGTAATAATTGGAAAAGAAGGATCAAATCATCCCTTTTTGCAGATGATATATTATCTAAAAGATACCAAAAATCTCACCAGAAAACTCCTAGAAGTTATTAACACGTTCAGTAAAGTGGCAGTTTACAAAAATTAACCTACAAAAGCCCATGGCCTTTCTATATACCAATAACAAGCAAACGCACATGGAAACACTCCTGTTCACAATAGCTGCAAAAAATAAAATAAATGCCAATCAAAATCCCCATGACATTTTTCACAGAATTGTAATAAACCATCCTAAGATTCATATGGAAGCACAAAAGACCTTGGATAGCCAAAACAACCCTGAGCACTAAGAGTCATGCAGGGGGGATTACTGTACCAGCTTTTTTTTAAGTCTTTTTGAATCAGGGTCTCCCTGTGGCCCCAGCTGTCCTGGCCTTGAACTCACATTGTTTTGCCTGCCTCTGCCTCCCAAGTGCTGGTACTACAGGCGTGTGCCACCATACCTGGCTATTTTTTTTATTATTTTTATTTTATGTGTATGTGTGATTTGCCTGTGTAAGTGCACCTGTGTTGTGCAGTCCCCGCAGAGGACTGGAGAGGCTGTCAGATCCCCTGGAACTGGAGTTTCAGACAATTGTTAGCTGCTATGTGGGTGCTGGGATTTGAACCCAGGTCTTCTGTAAGTGTTCTTAACTGCTGAGCCATCTCTTCATCCCCAATTTCAAAGAATTTTTTATTCATTACTGTTGATAATTTTGTTTTCAAATTACCTCAGACTTTGGCAAAGGATATTCACTTCAAACTGTTTGATGATAGCATCCTTCTCTCATATTTTTTTCAGGATTTCCTACTTTCTGACATTAAGATGCTTTAGTCTTACCTCATACCCTGTCCCAGCTCTAATATCTAACCTACTCTTTCTGTGATTGGCGTCATTATTTTTAATAGAGAAAGGGTTTTGGAGAACAAGCTCTAAGTATGTATATTACTACTGGAATGTCTTTGGTTCTTTGCCTTCTCAGTGGGCAGATCCCAAAATATATTCATGCATATATACATGTCTATTATTACATATAAATATATACTTTCATGCATTTCTGTGGGTTCTCTCCCTTTCCTCGTGGGTCGTTGGCCACCAGTCCACAGGGACAAAGGAAGCAGAAGCGATGAATGGGGTCAGGGACGGCCAGTGAGCACTGACAGAAGAAAGCCCTTCTGGGGAGGCAGGTTCAGTGATACAAACAGCTCCAGACTCAGTGAAACAGCTCTAGATTCAGTAAAACAGCTCCATTTATTCAGTGGGGGTTAGGGAAATTATAGTGTGGAGGCAGTAGCCAGTGCTTCAGCTGATAGGTGCTCATAGTATGCTTTATTTACATGTGGCAGTAGGCTCCTATCATCCGACTACCAGGCAATGCCTAATTATCATACAGAAAAAACCTGGGGGTAGTTTTTACTCCAGGTAACTATGCCAAAGGTCATGTTCCAAATAAGGTCAGGCATCTGTGCTTGGCGGCACTTTCCAGGTAAGTCAGGCAGAGAGCAGGAGGCCCACTGCTGAGGAGTCCTTCCATATAGCGCCGAGCCCCTTGGAGCTATCCAGACATGGAGGACTACAACCCTAGCAGCAGGGTTCTCCAACACATTTCCATATATACATGTATACACACACCATGTGCATGTACTTTACATATTTTAGAAATCATAGTTTATATGTACTGATGTCTCTAACTCTAGTTATTTATTGAGTTTTATTTTGCTTTCCCTAATTCTGTATTTGTTCGAATCAGGGAAGATGATAACCATGGTCTCAATTCATCTTTCCAGTGTTAGCCCTCAAAAATGAATTCACAGGTATGGAAGGATTAAAGGTCTTAGGATAATGATATCACAAGAATGGAGTTATTTGTAATCTCTACTCACAGTTTTAAAAGTCCCTTTGCCTATTAACCTTGATCTCTGGCCCAGTCCTACATCATGCTGTTGAAGAACACACATGCATGTTATGCAATAGTCCCTATGCTTCCCTCCCTGATTTGGACATCATTTTATTTATGTCTTTATTGGTTATATTATCATCTTGGTAGAGTGGGGAGGAAATTTAGAATCAGTCTATTTCTCCTATTCTCCAAACACATTAATGTTTCCCTGGGAATATACATTAAATAAATTTCTTATTTGGGATTAGTAGAGTTAGGTACTAGACTCAATGTTACCCACCAAGTGGTATTAAGTTTCAATAGTAACTCACAGGAAAGTCATCCATATGGCCAAAGATATCCTCCAAACATGGATACACCATGGTCTACCTACAATGAGCATATTTTGCTTACTTTTTATAGTGCCCAATTGGGTTTATATTAATATATGTCACTTACACTCTTAATCTCTCTCTAGCACCTTATTATTCCTTTAGACAAAAATAAAACCAGGACAGAGTATTCAGTGTTGCAAATTTGGTTTCATTTTAACTGACTTTTCCTAGGTATGTAGCTCAGTGGTATAGTAGTGCCTACTGTGTGTAAAGCCCTGGATACAATCCTTAGTACTGAAAAAAAAATCCACAGACAATGATAAAATAATTGAATCTACCTACACATCTAGAAAAAAAAGCTATTTATCTAAGAGTATTAAAAATATAACTTTTGGAGCTCTAAATCTTTTAGGAACTTGACTGTAATTAAAATTACCTTTACGTTTAACTTTTAAGAATACTGATTATTAATAATGATAACAGCTGATACTAAGCACTCTGTAGGTGAAATTGTATTTAAAATTCAAAGCAAGGTTTTTTTTTTAATGTTAGCCCTATTTAGCAAATGCATAGACTTCTCTTTAGATTGATTAATAAACTTATCCCAAAATAAAACAGTGATTTGGCAAGATTTCACCCCAAGTTTCATATTTTGGACCACTTGGGATTTCTAAATGCTGTGTATATTCTCTTTCCAGAAGAGAGACAAAGGGAGTTTGTTTGCTATCTCCACCCCTTTTCATCACCTTGCCTCCTTGGAGGTTGTCATTTTTCTTATCCTGTGCAAAAGATGACTTCACTTGCTAAGATGACTAGTTTTATAACTCCTACATATAGGAAAGTCATTCTCTCCAGCTTCTGATTTTCCAAGTAGCACACTGCAGCTGTCTGCATACTTTTTTTTGTTGGAAACCTTGAACAAGAAGTTTAGGCAAGATCTGTTTCTAGGGAATAAGTTGTCTTTGAACTAAGACATAAATCTCTAATTAAGAGACAAGAAATAATTTATTTCAACAGAAAATAATAAATTATTCATTTTAGGGTTAACATTATTACAGCGGTCTAGTTTGAATATAAATTGAGAAAACCTGAGTTATTTAACCTATAATAGAGTTAAAACAATAAAGTAGGATTTTAATTAAGAATGTAAAGGTTTTATTTTCTTACAGAAATCCCTAGGTCAGGTTAAAGATCACATAAATACTGAATTGCATAAATGACACTGATTACCTAGAACCTCTGAACCAACATTGTGTCTCCTGAACTAACACATGACTTGCTTTGCTTTCTTGCAGCCTCTTCCTTGGTTGTACCGCTGCTGAGTTCCACCATTCTCTTCCAGCGACTGTTCAGTATACTTCTTTCCTTGATGTCGACCTATTTGCTCCTAAGCACAGGGTATAGTAGCAATTTTAAATGCCAAATTGACTTTTCTCTACTAGTATCTGAGCTCTGGAAATGAAAATCTTTTCTAAATCTTGAGGGATATTTTTGCTATACGTGTGAGTATATGACTTGGTCTATAATTCTGTTTATTTTTTCTTATGCTTTTTGTATTATTGTCTGTTGTCCTTTCCCTTTTTTATTTACTGAAGTTGCTAGAATTTTATTTAATTGTGGTGTTATGAAATCCTGATGGATAATGGAAGAATTTTAGTTCTTAAAGGTTTAGAAGTTCTTTGACTTTTGTTGCATACCGTTCATGCATTTTTAAGTATGCTTTAAGCCTGAAGGTATAACTCAGTGGTAGAGTGCCTGCCTAGCATGTACAAGGCTCTAAGTTCAGTCATCGGCACTGTCAGAAGCAAAGGCACGAAGACTTTCAAATACTTTAATTTGTTCATTATTATTTGAATATGATATTTTGTTGTTATTCCTACTCTCATGTGTATTGCAAGTAAAATATTCATTTGGTTCAAAGAACTTGAATTTTCTTTTTTAAAAAATATTTTATTATTTTTATTTTATGTATATGAGTGTATTGCTTGTGTATATGTAAGTGAACTTACGTTGTACAATGCCCTTGGAAGTCAGAAGAGGGTGTTGGATTCCCCTTGGAACTGGAGTTACAGATGACTGTTAGCTACCATGTGTGTTCTGGGAACCAAATCCAGGTTCTCTGCAAGAACAGCCAGTGCTCTTAACTGTTGAGCTATCTCTTCAACCCCAGAACTTGAGTATTCTGATAAAAGTTAATTAGTTCATTTTCTTTAAAATTGAAATTTTGGGGGAGTGGAAAGATGGCTTACTTTTAAGAGTGCTTGATGCTCTTGCAGATGACCAGAGCCCAGTGGCCAGCATCTACATTAAGTGGCTCACAACCATCTATAACTCCAGTGTCCTCTTCTGTCCTCCAAGGGAATCCATATGCTCATGCATATACTAGTAAGCACACACACACACACACACACACACACACACACACACACAAAATAAATAAATAAATAAAAATAAATCTTTAAAAAATTGAAATTTTATTTTTTATTTTTATTTTCTACTTTTTTTTTTTTTTTGAAACAGGGTCTCCCTGTGTAGCTCTGGGTGGTATGGAACACATTCTGAAGGCCAAGCTCGCCTCAAACTCATGGAGATCCATTTGTCTCTGCCTCCCAAGTGCTAGGCTTAAAGGTATGTGCTACCATACCTAGCTTTCTTTCTTTCTCTTTTTCTTTCTTTCTTTCTTTCTTTCTTTCTTTCTTTCTTTCTTTCTTTCTTTCTTCATTTGAAACAGTTGAAATTTTCTTACCAAATAAATTTAAACAAAGAATCCTGAAACATTAGTTTAAAATTCAGGGGAGGCAATTTTATACTTCCTTTATTTACTGTGAAGGAAAGAATTACTTGTTTTACTTTTTAGATAGCCTAAGTTGGCCTCAAACTCATTACATAGCCCTAGCTGGCCTCAAACCCTCATTTCTCTGGCCCCAAAGCCTCAGCCTCCCAAGTGTTGAAATTCCAGTCATGGGCCACCAAGCCCAATTCTTCATTTGCTTTTTATTTCATCCTTCCTTAAATACTTTTAAGGATGAAAAATGTTTCACTTTAGAACAAAGTGAATAAATACCACTAATTTTGGGCCCCCAAATAGGATCTTCATCCAAATTAGACTAAACCCAGGGATTCACCATTGTGTTATCAACGGATTATTTGCAATTTAGATGATCTTGTAGGGCCATTTTAATAGTGGACCTAAGTGATCCAGACTCAAGAAGTTGTTATAGACTCCAAACAGAAAATGATGCAGTGGGACACTAACCAACATTCTACCAAAGCACCCCACATATCCTATCTGTCTCCTTCCTGCCTAACCAGATGTGGGCCACAGCTATGAGGATATTACATGAGCACCACTGAATATTTTCTCACTTAGTGAATAAAAAAATCTTAAGCTGGGCTTGCTTTGAAATATCGAACTTTGTGAAAAAACATTTGAAGTCTGGGAGCATTCAGTTGTTCTTATTTAAGAGTGACAAACAGCATGATAATTTAAAACTCCTTACATTTTTCCATATTATTGGTAAAAATTCAGAATAAATAATTTGTTATTAGCATTCATCAAAATAAACTGAATTAAAATATGCACAGGTTTCTAGTCTATATAAGAAAATAGGAGGCTGGCTCAGTGGTTAAAGAGCACTGATTGCTCTTACAGAGGACCTGGGTTCAGTTCTTAGCATTCTCATGCAGCTAACAACTGTTCACAGCTCCAGTTCCAGGGGATCTGATGCTCTCTTCTGACCTCCGTGGGCATTGCATGACATGGGTGCACTTACATAGATGCAGGCAATATATTCATACACATTAAAAAAATAATAGATAAAATATTAGTCTGGGCATGGTGGTACACACCTTTAATCCCAGCACTTGGGAGGCAGAGGCAGGAGGATCTTTGTGAGTTCGAGGCTAGCCTGGTCTACATAGTGAGTTCCAGGACAGCTGGGGCTACAAGGAGACCCTGTCTCAAAAAGAAGGAAAAAAAAAAAAAAAAAAAAAAGAAAGCAGAAGATAAAATCTCATCTTTTGGAATGGCACATGTGTTATATTCAGATCATACCTGGAAGTTGGCTTAAGGAAATAAATATTTTAGAGTTAAGGAATATATGCTAACTTCTTCATGATCACATAATAATGAATTAGTCCTTTTTCTTTTTTGAGCTTTTAAATTCCCAAGCATAAACCAGTTGAAAGGAATGTGTAATAGATTAAAAAATGTAAACAAATCTAGGCATGGCGGAACATGCCTGTAATTCCAGTGCTCAGGAAGCTGAGGCAGAAGTGTTGTGAGTTTGGGGCCAGCCTGCACTGTATAGTAAGAACCTGTATTTTAAAAATAAGGGTGGGAGCTGGAGAGATGGCTCAGCAGTTGAGAACAATGGCTGCTCTTCCAGAGGACTCAGGTTTGGGTCCCAGCACTTACATGACAACTACCAATTGTTTGTAACTCCAGTTCTAGGGAATGCAGTGCCCTCTTCTGGCTTCCATGGGCATTGTATGCATGGGTGCACTTACATACATACAGGCAAAACACTCATACACATAAAAATTAAAAAAACAAGGGCAGGGGCTAAGATTGTAGCTTAGTGGGCAGAGAGCTTTCCTAGTATGCATGCAGCCCTGGGTTTGGGACCCACCCAGCACTGCATAAAAAGTTGGGCATAGCAGCACAGCCTCTAATACCAGCACTTGGGAAGTGGAGGAAAGACACCAGAAGCTCAAGCTACATAGTGAGTTTGAGCCAGTCTGGGCTACATTTGACCCTGTCTCAAGAAAACAAAAAGAAAAAAGAGCAGGGAAGTTAGAGTGCTTGCCCAGCATGTACAGTTCCTGGTACAACTAAGAAATAAAAATAAATAAACCTGATGGATTACAAATAGAGGAGGGTAAGGAAGAAAGAATAGTTTGGTTCTGAGTTTAAAAGAAAAAAGCTACTTCATAATGTAGAGTGCATTTATCACATAACTTACCTTGGAGATGAGTATTATAATGTTTTAAATCATCAATATAATGGTCTTGAGAGGCCCCCAAAACAGATTATTATAAATACATCTAGTCTATTTTAAGAAAATTTAAAATATGAAAGTCTGTGCCTAAAATCAGCATATTAATACTGAGTATGACCTTATTAATGACTGCATTAAGAGATATATTATTCAACATCAGAGCCTATATTTAGCTTTGAAAATAAAGGGTATCTTGAAACAGCACAGTCTAATCATTTAGGTCAGTACAGTTTCTTAGTGTCACATCAGTTTTGCAAACCCTGTGGTTCATACGGCTCAGCATCACTATTTTGGATAAAATAGAGATTTCTCTGTATAATTTGGTGAATATTCACACCTAAGAGATTCTTAAAATAATGCAGCTTCATTATATTACAGAAATAAAGTAATAGTCATCCTAGATTCTAACAATGCATCCTTGATTTAATGAATAAAGCAGATTCATTTGTAATCAGTCCTGAATTAATTTTATGCAAATGAAGGCTATTGTAATTCTTGAAGATAGTTTGTCCTATTAAGTTGTTAAACATTTCCCTCTCATTTTGTTTACATTATCCCTTCTCTTTGCAAACCATAATATAAATCTAAATGCCTTTTCAGCTTGCCTCTGTCTCCGGAGACTGAGCCTGCAGATCCTAATTTAAGGTTCAGGGTTTTATGATGTTCTTTTCAAACCCATGGAGACATCTTATTGATATTTATACTTATTAATTTAGATGTACAGGATATAAAATATTGATTGCTTGAGAGATAAAGTCCCATAGGAGAATTGTCTTTATCTGATTTTCTCATGTACATTTTATTTTCTTTTGAAATATTTTATTACTTTTATTTTATGTGTATGAGTGTTTTGCCTCATGTATGCTTGCCTATATGTATGTAAGTGTACCTGTGTCATGCAATGCCCACAGAAGTCAGAAGAAGGTGTTGGATCCCCTACAACTGGATTTATGGACAGTTGTTAGCTGCCGTGTAGGTATTGGGAACTGAACCTGGGTCATCTAGAAGAGCAGCCAGTGCTCTTAACCCCTGAGCCATCTCTCCAGCCCCATCTCATGTATATTTAGAAAAGAAAATGACTGTAACTCTATTTGAAGTCTTGTAAGATTTATGGTTTTATATTATTAGGAATGAATAACTTCATATACAACAGAATTATTTTTTAAAAGTTGCAGGCCAGTTTTTCAGTTAATTATAACAATAGTATCACCACATTTGGACAAGGTAGACTAAGGG